CCCTAGTATGGACTCTACACCTACCGATTCCAAAACATGCATGTTCCGAGTTCAAAACCAACCTTCACCGACCCTAGTATGAACTCGGCTACCAACAATTCCAAAACACACATGTTCCGAGTTCAAAACCAACCTCGGTGAAAACTTCACCGACCCTAGTATGAAGACGGCCCCTAACAATTCCAAGGATGCATATACGACCTTCGAAACCACCCTCGGTGTAACCAAAACACCTCCGTCCCTAGTGTAAACTCTGCCGCATCCAACTCCTAAACATCCATGGTCCGAGTTCAAAACCCAACCTTCACCGACACTAGTATGAACTCGGTTACTAACAATTCTAAAACATGGATGTACTAACTTCGAAACATCCCTCTGTGTTAACAAAACTCCCCCGACCCTACTATAGGCTCGACCCCTAACAATTCCAAAACATGTATGGTCTAGCTTCGAACCCTGCCTCGGTGAAAACGTCACAGACTCTAGTTGAACGGTGCCCCTAGCCAACTCCAAACCTTCCCTGGGCACCCGAATAAAAATACCTCACCCAGCCCCTTAATCAATAAAAATTATTGATTTGTACTTTAGAGTGATTAGATTGTATGATATGTATGCTAACGTCATATCATATTTAGTTTTTACGTCATTATATTGGTGAACTTTAAATGTAGACATTTTAAACGGTGTGTCATTTGACACGACGTACTATAACGTTGTTGTTTTTTAAAACTCGAAGTTTATAATCTTAAGCAAATTTTTACTAAGGTGATCAAAAATTAAGATGACAGTGTAAGATATAGAAAAAGAAAATACATTGAGTGGTGAAAATAAAAAAATTGTAATTAGACATAACGTCTTATGTATAAGTAAACTTTCTTAAAAATTAAAGAAGTTCAAGTCAAAAAGAAGTTTGATGAAAACTGTAATACTAAAGCGAACATGGGAAGGTAATCTGCTTGAGGTTAAACATCGCCATGTTTTCAAATATCGCGATGCAAGTCACGTTCTCTCCCCTCTTACTTAGTAATCGCCTCCTCTACCCATTGTTTACAAGACTCTTACAAAGAAAAAATATCCCACCCCTCTACTTGAGACATAAACTACAAAAGTGTATTGTGCCTTGTCGTCACATGAAACAAAAATGGTGGCGTCTAATGTTGTTAACCCTTGTCTTCCTAAATTATTTTTAACTTGTTAAAGAAATTGACTGTTTAGTTAAGGATTCTGACGCGCAATTTTTTTCACAAGGGACGATACTCGTGGCTGTAAACAAGTCTGTTCTAATTTTAGAACAGTTGTCTTTCCTCTCGTTTCTCTATTAGGGAAGACATGTGGGGAAGCCACGCGATACGTCTTTTAAAATGTAAACAAACGTGCACAAGGTGCACTTAAAATAAACCCCGCTGTGAAAATGGCAACGGCCTGGTGACACTTTTTGGAAAACACGCTTTCATGTTAATAAAATAAGGGTCGCTTTTGTTGTCGCCATGATAATGTATACCTATAAGTTCTCTCCGCCTTTACCGACCTAGTATGAATTTCGCGCGCGCGCGCGTGTGTGTGTGTGTGTGTGTGTACGTGTATCTCAAAAAAGTGTATCATGTCAACACCTGGACAACCAGTCATAGTCAACAAGGCCTACTTCATTACAGATCTATAGGAAATCCCTCTTTACCTGTACTTACATTAGGAAAAGTAAACTCGTTTGAATCAAAAAATGTATTTAAATATATAGAGTTATAGAACCTTAAAGTTAACAGATGCTGAAAAAATAAAATAAAAAAATTAAAATTAAAATCCGCCTCCTCACCCACCTCACTCAGGTGGTAGAGTCTTTTACTATATATCCTTTACTCCTACTCGTGTTCCCCCCCTTCACCCACCTTCTCCACCTTCACCCACCTTTCACCCTTCACCCACCTGATAAGACCGTCACCCGTCTGCTTACACCCCTTCACCCATGTTACTATAAGCGAGTATGTATTGAACATTTGTTAATATTTCCCCCTTCACCCACCTGTTCACACCGTCACCCGCCTGCTTACACCCCTCACCCATGTTACTATAAGCGACTATGTATTGAACATTTATTAAATTTATCTGGTTCAGGGTGGTCAAATGGTGGTCAGATCAAAAGAAAATCGGAACGGTCATAAAAAACTTAATTACTTTTCCAGACTTGTAGACTTGTAAAAAACATGTCTACCCCCGCATACCTTACGTACCAACGCACTAAGTCGCCCCTGTCGCCCATTAAAAAGCACGAACCTACCGAGACCTCGTTTCGTCTCAAAACCTGATTTAACGTTGGTTGAAAGAAAGTTCCGACCCTTAAATATATTTTGTTTTCGTTGACCCTCGCTATAAGCGAATAGTTACAACCATTAATCTTTCATACATAGCAAGGGACGTTTCGTAGGCCATGTGGAAACAAAAAATTTTAATTTGATCAAAGAATGACCGGGCGTACGATATGTGAACATAGTTCATGGACAGCTGTAATCTAATGAAAAAAGCCGAGAGCCGTGACTAATTACAGCACCAGCTGTTACCTAAGGGCTTCACGGAGCTGACAAATCGATCGGTTTTCGCTGACCTCGCTATAAGCGAATAGTTACCGATGTCGCTACACTTAACGTGCGTGACCAATTTAATTAGGTGTGATGGTCAGTGGATGCGATCGATATTACACAGCTGTTGCATAATGACCTACGTACTTCGCGGAAAGCCACTTAATGTACGTCGTTAATTACCATGACCTTTCAAACCGAGCGGGGGAAAATCAATGATGCATAACAAAATTTAATTAGGTGGGACATCATGCTGTGATGGACCTGTCGCTGCGATCAATACGTAACAGGTGTTACATGTCTGGTTAATGGATGTTATTAACAAAGTACACGCTAACGCACCCCTACCCTCAAACCCCATCATTACTCCCCCTCTCATCCACCAACACCCCTATCCGTTTACTATTAAACATACATACAATCAAATAAACAGTGTCTTTTATTTTAAATACCATACATCAAAGAAAAGAAATATATCAAATAAATAAATAAACAAAAGTAATTAAAATCAAATTACGTAACTAGTTAATAATAATTTAACTAATTATAAAATAAAATAAAATTAAAAATAAACAAAATAAAAATAATTAAAAAGTAAACAAATAATCAAATTACGTAACTCGTTAATAAAAATTACACAATATAAACAAAGTAATTAAATTAAACAACAAGTAAACAAACAAATTAAACAAAATAAAAATACAATCAAAGTAATTAAATTACGTAACTCGATAATAAAAATTAATTAAAAATTTAAAAACTCATTAAAACTCTTAAAAATAAACAAACAAAATACAAACAAAGTAATTAAAATCAATTAAATTTAAAATTAAAATTTAAAATTTAAAAATTTAATAAATTAAAATCAAATCAATTAAATCAAACTAAAATTAATTAAAATTTAAAAAACAAAATAAAAATAATTAAAAAAATTAAAATCAAACAAATACAAAACAAAATAAATAAAAATCAAATTAATTAAAGTTATTAAAAATAAACAAACAAAACACAAACAAAGTAATTAAAATCAAATTAATTAAAAAAAAAAAAAAAAAAAAAAAAAAAAAAAACATTAAAATTACGTAACTAGGTCAAAAATTAATTAAAATTTAAAAAACCCATTAAACCTAATTAAAAACCCATTAAAATTACGTAACTAGGTCATGGAGTATTTTACTATATGTCTTTGCGCCACCCTAGGGAGTATTTTGCTATATCTCATTGTTCCTGCGGCCACGAGTATTTTGCTATATAACCTTTGCGCCGCCCAAATTCGCTCCAAAAGGGACCTAATATACTACTCATGGTTTTAGTGAGCTGTGTTCACTCTAAATGTTTACAAGCAGAGCCAACGATTTTAAACGTAGGGGGGGGGGGGGGGAGGAGGGGGGGAGGGAAGGAAGGGGGGGTTATGGTCCTAAACGAGCTACTTATAGTGTTTTAAAGAAATATTTTCAGTGTCAGCGTTGGTACTGTCGAATTCACAAATTATGAATTATTGAAAATTAGAAACAACTAAATAGCGGCGTATGTTATGCCGCGGGCCGGCTCGTAGGTTTTAAAATATAAATATTGATTATGTTGTTCATTTCCTTGTTAGATGTGCATAGTTGTTATGAAGTATGAGCGAATGGTAATTAATTATTAGGATAGAGCCGGTGGTGTATAACTACAGGGGGGGGGGGGGTCAGAAACGTAATTTGTTGTTGTGAGAGTTAATGAGTGATGATGGTTGAGTTGTTGTATGGGTGGTGGGAGGCGAGGGGGAGGGGGGCCTGCCCAACGCTTTACAAACACACATTAACATATATCAAGAAGAGAATAACTTATATAAAATACCATACAAATTACAAAAAAAAAATAAATAAAAAAATAAATAGATTATTTAATTTTCGATGGGCCTACCTTTTTAACACGTTTTTCTTAACTCAGCTTCGCGTTTGTTTGTTTGTTTGGTTGTTTGGATGTTTGTTGTTAAAATTGACATCGAAAATTAGCCCACTTCTGTGTGTGTAACAATGGTGATGATGTGTGTAACAATGGTGATGATGTGCTGTGTGTAACAATGGTGATGATGTGTGTGTAACATTGGTGATGATGTGTGTAACAATGGTGATGATGTGCTGTGTAACAATGGTGATGATGTTTTTTTTAAGTATTTTATTCTGATTCCATCCACCCACCTCCCCACAAAAGACACCTCTCCTCCAATGTTCATTTACCCCGCCTACACCCCAAATACCTGCCTTTATTAACCCCCCCCCCCCCCCAACCTTAAACATTTTCTGGACACTAGTTAAGTAAATATTTTCTGTGTAGATTTATTTTTCTATTTCGTTGAAAGAGGGGGTGTGGCGGTGGAAGAGATGCCTGAAAGAAACTCGGAATGTGACCATGACCTCTGACGAATGAAGTGAAGCGTGAACTCACCTTGTCGTAGATGTAGGGGTTGAGTATGACGATGGTGACGACGTAGTTCATGAAGTAGGTGCTCACCACCAACGCCAGGAGGACACTCGGCCGCCATTTTGTCCCGGCAGACGATCTCTCAGCAGACGGCAGGAGCAGAGGTCGGAGTTCATCTTCCCGTACCCGTGGCATGCTGGGAGGTACTCGTCTTGAGGGGGTGGGGGGGGGGGGGAAGAGGTTAATTTAAAATCTTATTGGAATTTCTGTTATTGTTTTTGTCGTGGAGGGAAAAAAAAATTTAATTCCGCAAAGATTGAATTGGTTTGTATCTTTAAAAGCTTGAGATTTTAATTATCTTCGCTTGTTGATTAGTTTATAATGCGAAATTAAGAAATACTTTTTTAATAGTGCCTCTAGCTGAGCCCTAACGCTGTCCTTATTTTAGCCTAAAGTGTAACTATAGCCTATATAGGGGCGTTAGAGCGCTAGACTGCTAACCTGAAACTCTCGAGTTCGAATCCAAGAAAGTCAGTAGAACGTCCCTGAGTCCACCCAGCTTTGATGGGTGGCTAATTCACGTTAGGGAAAGTAAAGGCAGCGGGGCATAGTGCTGACGACAATATCTCCTTCATATTCCGAGGTCACAGAAACAGGTGAACTCTATTTCACTTGCCCCATGGACCGTGGGGTTCGAAAAAGAAACTTTACTTATTATAACACTGATTATTACGAATGTCTAGATCGTATCCTTTATCCTAACCCCAGAGGCGTAGCTAGGTGGAGCCGGTGGGGTGGCCGTCCCGGGCGCCGACCCAAAGGGCGCGCCAAACGTGGTAGATAATAATATAAAAACTCATTACTGAATTACATACCGTCGAAGTAAACAATATAGACTTCAATTTGGCATTGCGGACTTGTTTTATACGTCAATTGTGTGACACCAAAATAAAAAGGCAAAGTCACTGGTAAAAAGCGCCCCGACCTTTCCAAATGAGGGGATGGGTGCGCTTTTCCACCAACGCGAATTACTAAATATAGCCCTAATTTGGGGAAGGGGCGCCAAATTGATAGTTTGTCCTGGGCGTCGAAATAGATGGCTACGTCTTTACCTAACCCTGACCATAACAACATTGATACCGGCATTAAAAAAAAAAAACATCAGCATTATACTTGAGTTTACCTTGTGCTGTTTTCTATATTGGCGACAAAGTATCGTAAAATAGAATTTAAAATATAGAGGGAAGGGACTCTAAACCAAATCAGAAAAAGAGAAATACAATTTTAATTTTGGGTAGAGTTTAACACGGGGTAAAATTTCACACGGGGCAGATTTAAACATGGGGTAAAATTTCACACTGGGCAGATTTAAACATGGGCAAGACTAACGCGACACAGAGTTAAACACGGGGCAAAGTTGAACTTGGGTCAGTGTGTTACAAGCAGTAGCACACACCACTCTCTACTACTGGCCTGTATCCTGCGACATAACAACAGTAAACAGCTACCGGTTAAGTGAATTAATTTACGTCCTACACGCTACCTATAGTGTACAAGGTATATAGGCCGTCCTTATAATACGTATTTAGGTAGCCATTGCAATACATATAGAAGTAGCCCTTGCTATAAACATAGAGGTAGCCATTGCTATACATATAGAGGTAGCCATCGCTATACATACAGAGATAGCCCTTATTGTACATATAGAGGTAGCCCTTGATATCCATTTAGATGTAGCCCTTGCTGAACATAAAGAGGTAGCCTTTGCTTTATATAGAGGTAGCACTAAACGTGTACGGGTAGCACTTACTATACGTATGCAGCTGGCAGTTGTTGTACATACATAGTAAGCGATACAATTAGTTTTCTGTTTGTATATTACACTTGCAGCCACTGTTGTTATACGTATACTGGTAACACTTTACCTATATAGGTAGCACTTGTTATACTAGTAATAAATGTGTCATCATTACGATACGACACTGGTGACAGATGTGTCACCATTACTGCCATTAAGATACTACTGATACGTTTTTCACCCTTAAGATACTTCTGATATATGTGTCACCTTTACAGCATGACACTGGTGACACAATAGGATACCACAAATACATGTATCACCAGTTAGATACTACTTATAAACGTGTCACCATAAAGCTACTAATGATACCGTGTCATCATTAAGCTACTACTGATATATGTGTCACCATAAAGGTACAACTGGTATATGTGACACCATTAAGGTACAACTGATACACGTGTCACCAGTAAGGCACTACAAATTCATGTGTCACCATTAAGATACAACTGCTACATGGATCACCCTTTACCGACACATGTGCCACCACAAATGTCAACAATCCACATGTCATATCATTCACACAGCACCACTGTCACACATACGACAACATCCATAAACCCACACATAAATTCACACATAAACCCACACATAAACTCACATATAAACCCACCTACCTGCCTGCAAACTCCAATTTATCAACCGTAAATAAATACACGTCTCACCGAATAACACACCAAGTACTGAAACGGAGGCCCACCAATTGCTTTCAATGCCACCATTCTGAGCTAAAAATAGCAACATCTATGTCCTATAGGCCTATTTTGAAAATTTGACACACAGCTTAGCAGTTTCATTGGTGGAAAAGGGAATTCCCCCTGATTTTATAAATAGATGTTGGGAATCCCCGTTACGAATTAACTTCCTGATACTAGACTGGACTAGTTTTACTAGTTTTTCTATCTTTTATGTACCTGTTGCGGCTCTCTATATTGGAAAAAAATATCCATTCCAAGCTAATGTTAACAAGATTTTGACATCTTACAAAAATGTGAAAGTAAAAACACTGACGCCCACTCGACCAAAGGACTAAACAAATCGATCGACGAGGGGGAAATCGGGGGGGGGGGGGGGGGGGGGGGCAATCACACCAGGTGACACCCCACCTAGTGATGCCACTGACCCAGTCTACAGTAGCAAATACATTGACTTACATGTTTCTCATCTTTCTCATTCATAGGCGTATCTAGTATCTAGGTATATGTGTGTGTTTTTGTGTGGATGGAATGGGGGCTCGTGGTACTTCTGGGTGTTAGTTGTACCAATATACTAATGGCCTTAAGCCTTACGAAACAAAACAACCCATCTTTTATTTTGTTTACATAATGATCAGCGTAGACCTAGGCGTCTCAAAGCAGGTAAGGGAAATTAAAGAAAGAAAATATATATGTATATATATATATATATATATATATATATATATATATATATATATATATATATATATATATATATATATATATATAGCCTATTTATTCGCTCTTGGCCTTCTAAACGGGTAATTTAATTAATTTATAGTTTGGTCACTAGCAGTTGACGCGTGACTTAACAAAAAATATTTTCTAATTAAATTCCTAGGAGAGACGTCTGTGTCGATTTTACCTTCCTTGTTTTTTTTTCTTTTAAGACATAAATAACCCCATAACAACAACAACGTGATTGTGTGATGACGTCAACTAGGGGGCTTCTATCCTTGACCCATCTTCCCCCCCCCCCTCCCATTCTAACTAGCAGTGGCGCGTCAAGGGTCGTGTAAATAGTAAACTTTTAAAAGAAAAGATTTAGCATTAAACAGTAGAGAGTGGATCAACCCACAAATTAAGTACATTCAGAGTTTCTTTAAGGCTCTGCTTTTCCCCCCACCCCACCGAAAAACGTCTACCACCCCTTCGCACCAAATATAATTTATATAGAACGTATATTTATTACCCCCACCTCCGAAAATTTCAAGTGCCCCCCCCCCCCTCCCACCCTCGGAGAAACAGTATGAAAGAAACACTAAGTATACTAATAATGAAGGGCAACATTTAGAGGAGTAATGTGAGCAATCCTTCATTTTTATTCCTGTGGACTCCTTGTGTATTACGGGGGTCGCAACAATCGTACTCGTTTTTGGACGATTCTCTTAGGTTGGGTTCACGACATTCCGGCTGATTCTGCTTCACTGGCAACTGATCTTCTCCAAGTTTGGTTTGGTCTGTCCAAGTTTCTACTTCCTTGACATTCCAATGTACAATTCCTTCTATAGTTCCTTCCAGGCATCACTCCAGGGGTGGGGGGGGGGGGGGGTGGGGGGGGGGAAAGGAGGGAGGGGGCGGAGAATTCCCCCCCCCCCCCCGAACGAAATGAATGGAATTTATATAGAACATAATATATACTTTTACTAGTGTCAGCCCCCCCCCCCCCCCGGAAAATTTAGTCCGCCCTCCGAAAATATCAAGTGCCTGAAAGAAACACTGCTTCTTGGGCGCTGAAATATGTAGGTGCACCTAATAATCGTGGTTCAATGTGTTTATTTTTATAATTTAATTTCCTCTACAATACACCATCAGTAGCATATAACACATGTCGAAAAAAAGCGAAATTGAAAAATAGAAATAATAAATAAATAGATGAAAAAACAAAACAAGGTAAAACACTCAAATATTTTTTTTTTACTTTAATCAAAAGCAAGAAAAGCCAAATTTTAAATATATAAAAGATGTGAATAATTAATTAATTAACTCCTTAATTAATTCCAGGCCGATTTTTTTTCTGGTCACGTTGTGTACTTGTCACAACAGTGTACACGAGAGTAAAACATGGCGGCAGACTGTACACCAGGCGTACACATTACAGCATGCAGAACAACAGAGTGTACACAACTCGGTATTGAATGTGCGTACATGAAAGGACACTTTGCGTACATGTAAAAAAAAAACTGTCTTGCATAGAAACTAACGCACACACAGGGTTTCTTTCAGGCTTATATCCAGATTTAAAAAAAATGAAATTTAAATAGTAATGGTGTGGTCGAATGGTAGAGTGTTTGAATGCTAGCCCGAAAGTCTCAAGTTCGGATCCCGGGCTTATGTCTGTAGGACTTCCCTGAGTGGGTACCTGACTCAAGTTAGGGAAACAGGTGGCTGGGCACTACCTCCTTGTACGCCGAGGGAAATGAAACAACTAAACTCTACTTCATCTGCCTTATGTGTCTTGGGCACGAACCGGAAAAGATGATGATGATGAAATCTGAATAGTAAATATATACTTTTCAAATTTCATCATCATCATCATCATCATAGTAAATATATACTTTAAGCATTTTCATGAATGCTTCCCCCCCTCCCCACACCGAAGCAAGAAAATCATGAAAGAAACAAACATTGCCAATGACATGACTTGTACATAGCAGATAGACTCGTACACATAACATGTACACAACACCATGACATTCATATACGGCGTGTACCTAATACATAGACTCGTACACAAGGCACTAGGAAGTGTAGGTTATCTCTGAAATGTTACTGGTAACAAAGCCGGCAGTAGTTCTAGATGACAAAGCAGCAATTCGCCATAGACCGTGACCTTAGATCACATGACTAGCATACCACGTGATAGTCTGGCCACCAGTCGGTGAGGGCGCGCACGGAAAAAAAAACAAAATCGGGCGCTAGGCGACGGCGCCCCCAAGCAGATCAACATTAAGACGCCCATGTGACCTCAGATCAAGTGAAGTTAAATTAATAATCATACGCTTCCGGGAGTCAAGTCACCGTCTCCATGGTAACCGAATGACTGCGATGATCGCACGCCGCGATGACGTCACCGCCGGCGTCTGCGCCGCAGGCGTCCCCGCAGTCGCCGACGGCCATTTCCGTTTTTCTGAACCCCGTGGCGACGATGCACGGTTTCCGGGCCGGGCATTCGGCGCGGTTTTCCATTTTTAAATTAAAAGACGTCCGCCCCCTCGGCGGGCGCCGGCTTCCGCAGCAGCATCCGGTCAAGAGTCTGGTCACCCGGTCGGTCAGCACCAAGGTTACGAAGACGTAGAGCCCCAGTACCCATTGCATAATGATGAAGGCAATCCGGATGTTGGGGAGGGAGGTGATTATTCCCACACAGCCGACCATCCACGTTAAAAATGAAATCAGCGACGCTCGGAAATAAAAATGCACGTGTCGTTCGTCGGCGGCGTTGATCTCCAAGTCAATGTTGTGACGTAGGCTGATGCAGGTCAGGACGAAGAGCACGATAGCGATAACGAGGCAGATCACGAGGGGCAGGAAAAGCGACACCCAGAGTGTTGTGAGTTTCGAGAGTAGGCACATGGCCCCGCCCCCGTAGCCCAAAACCACAGACGGCAGGTGCGTTGTGGTGTGGACGAGGATGACAAGGGCGATAACCAACAAGGGGGCGATACCCGTGAAGAAACAATACAACGTTAATGCTCTCCCTTCCTTTGTCGTGTTCGCGGATAAATGCATGGTGGCGAATATGGCGTAGACGTGGTAGGAACACACAATTAGGGCGCAGAACAGACACAGGCAGAAATAATGATTGAGTACTCCGAAAGCCACACACAAACTGCTGTCGTCATCGACTATGTATCCTAGCAACAGCGCCCCTTGCGAGCAGAACAGCGCGGCTATAAATAGCATGTTGTTTTTCCCGGAGAGGGAGCGTAGCTCCGCGAAGGCGAAAAACACGGCGAAACAAGCCAGCAAGCAGAGCATGGATATCGGCAAGAGGACAGACACCAGGACATTTTCCATCGTTGTCCTCTTGGCGGGGTCAGGGGTCAGCACGGACAGGAAGTCCTCCAGACAGACCGTCACGTTGCCGTCCAAATCCTCGAAGTATCGATTCCTGGGCACGACATTGCCCGGTCTGCCCCGGAGTAAAATCAGATTCGAATCCGGACCGGAAGTGGAGAACTCGTCGGCGTGTAAGATGACCTGCGGGCAGCTGAGGAGACTGGTCATGCGCAGCAGGGACTGTCTCGGCCTGTCTGGTTTGTGTAAGGGGTCAGAGGTCGTAGTGGAAACGCTTTTGATGCCCGCTGAAAAAAATAATAATTTCAACGTGTGATCAAGAAAATCAATACTTAATTATAAAAAAAATTAGAACATTAATTTAGAAAAAAAAAAAAAAAAAAAAAAAAAAAAAAAAAAAAAAAAAAACAATATATGTAGGCTACGTCGACGTTCGTGTACAACCAGTTTTTCTTTCAGACATTTTTCTCCCGGGGGTATTGGGGGGGGGGGGGGGGGAGGGAAGAGAGGCATTGAGACTTTCGAGCGAGGGGCGCACTTAAATTTCCGGAGGGGGCGGACACTGGTCAAAGTATGTATTTTCTATGCAAATTTTGTTTTCATATTTTCTATTTTTTTTCTGGGGGAGGGGCAGAGGGGGGGGGGGCTGAAAGATACTTCGCATACAACACAGTAAAAGACTAAAAGACTAAGGAATAAGGTTAGAGTCAACCCTGTTGCCGTTTAGGGCAAAAATCTTGTCCATTACGCCAAAACTCGTCTACCATTGCTTCACATATACAAATACACACAAACCCATACACACACTGCCGTACACACACACACGCAGAGGACACACACGTACACTCACTGTCCGACACATACACACACAAACGCACACACACGCATTCATATGCGCACACGCACATACGCACGAATACGCACTCAAACTCACACACGCAAAAATACAGTCATACACACGCAGATACACACTCATATTCACAGACCCAAAAGCACACTCAAACTCACACAACTGCTCATACACGCGCACTCAAATGAGCACACTCGGTAAAACGCAAACATCCATTCATACGTACACATACACACGCGCGCACTAACTCCCGCAAGCACAACACACACACACACACAAACGCACACATACACGTGCGTAAACACAAACACAAAAACAAACACACATTTCTCTCTGTCACACACACACAAACGCACACACATAAACGCATATTCAAGCACACAAACACATGCACATTTCTCACTGTCTCTCTCTCACACACACACACTCAAACGCACATTCAAACACAAAAACACGTATACACATGCACTCACACACAAACACATGCACACACATTTTCTCTCACACACTCACTCACTGACACCCACACTCACACATGGACTGACCTTTTCTCTGCTGCAACTGGTCGTTTGAGACAATGGTCATGCAGGATGAGCTGGTTTGTTTAGAAGGGTGCATCAAGTACCAGGGGAGCTCACTTGGATAACTCTGTAAAAAGTTAACTACTGTTTATTTAAATCATTTTTTTTTGTACAATTAAAAAAGGAAATGCAGTTTGGTCAATGTGCTGTTTATTTAGGCAAATTTTATATAAATGGCTAAGAAAGTTACCGTTCATTAAATATTACTTAAATGGGAGTTTTGAATAAGTAAAAAGAATTTGGAATCAGTAAAGGGAAATAACGTAATGTTTATCAATCTGCAAAATAATTTTGCAGTTATTGTTACTTACGAATTTTAAAATAAATAGGACATTTTTTTTTATCTACAAAAATGTATGTCAGTGTAATATACACGTTTTCGCAATTGTGTTCCGACTTTTAATATTGTTATTGCAAGTTATTCATTTCTTTGAAACTTTTGTTTTTCATCAGGAATATAAAACTTTTCTATAGTAGTTAAAAGTCCAATGACGGTCTTCGGTCGGTGTTAACTGTTTAAGGACAATTTATTTTTTTCTATTTGAAAATAAAAGTATTTATAACAAAAGATAAATTACCCACTATCTAGAACAAAACTGTGATAACATCTAAGACTATTATAGTAAAAAAAAACTATTTGTATTTCTTTATTTCTAATTACCTTCGTTTGAATTGTTGATCGACAAGTCATTTTTTTAGTAATGTTCACCATTTTGTTTATGTAGTGATAATTTTTGTAAATGTTTGAGCTATGTTAAGGACTAACGCACACGCACATTTGTATATGCTGTTGTAGTTATTTCAATTTGAAAATAAAATAATTAAAAAAAATAATTCAAGGACTAATGATCTAAGGGAAAAATATATCTGGACAAAATATATATGGACAAATGATATCATAGACAAATGATCTGAGACAAAATATCTCACAGCAAAATATTGAGATCATTTTCCGTGAGATACTTTGTATGAGGCCATTTGTCCTCGTGTCGTAAACCCTTTGATGTAGGAATGTTACACCGTGTGGACGTCTCAAATAATTGACACACAAACGAAAAAAAAAATGATTCCCAAACGAAAAAATAAATAAATACATGACCCCCTAACGAAAAAAAAAACCACAACAAAAGAATAAATAAAAAAAAATAAATAAAAATCAAGTAGCTATTGTTACTTTTATTACATTACTTGAATAAACACTATTCTTCAAGTTAACTTAGTTCTTTATTTTTATATACTAAGAGCTCAGACGACTCGTCTTGTCTACGTTAACAGCCTAACATGTACACATCAACTACACACCACGGAAGACACAGTGAACACTCAAAGGTTGTAACCACGATATACATAATACAAGCAGAGGCGTATCCAGGTTTTCGTTGTAGGGGGAGCGAAAAGAGCAAAAAAAGGCGCCGAATTTTTAACACGTTCTATATACGTGTATTATATATATATATATATATATATATATATATATATATATATATATATATATATATATATATATATATATATATATATATATATAATTAGCTGTATGTCTTTACTTCGCTATGTGTAAAATAAATTGAAAGTAGCACTCTGAAGAAATAAGAAAAAACACACAATGTAGGCCGACAAAACAAAAATTGTATCAATCTAAACAAACAAGTTAATTAAAAAGTCTAGTGACAATTTTAGCGCACTTTCCTTATGTTATCTAAAAATAGCTCTGTCGTAGCGTAAATCAAGGGCAGGGTTAGTAAAACCATTGGTTAGTTACTAAAACGTTTTTTATTAATTTTTTTTTCAGTATTTTACATGTTTTATTTACAATAGAGTTACATGACTAAAAATCATTGCGCCTAGCTCCCGAGCGTGATGGCGCAGCCATTGAACGTGATGGCGCAGCTATTGAACGTGATGACGCGTGTGGTGTGGTTGGATAAACATGCCTACTAATTCGGTCCAAATTTTAATTAATTCAAATTTTTTTTTTGTGACCGAACGAAAGGATATTTTTGAAACTTTCTTCGGCAATATTGTTCTAAATTATCGCAGGAATCGATTGGTACATGTTTCAAGTCGCTAAGTGGTCTGGTTGCCGAGATATGGGCTAAAACTACTTTTTTTCGAGGTTTTTTTGGCTTTTCTGGAAATTCATGAAAGAAACCCGGAATTTTTTGGCCTATGTTCATCCTCGTAACTTTCTTAACATAATTGCTTTTGGAACTAGTCGTCGATATTGCTTCGTTGAGGAGGAGATACGACTTAAAGCTGCGGACACACATCCATCCATCCATTCATACATCCAGAAATGACGGGTTAATAAACGCAATTCTCCAGAATGGAAATTGCGCTAAAAAAAATATACACACACTACAACCAAAAACAATGAAACGTAACGCAATCTGTTTTGTGATTCTTGTTTAAAAAATTATTACATAATAATTCCTGGGAAATTATTTAAGACAAGTGAAATACGGCAAATAGTTACTCTCTTAATATAAATATGTATATATTTACACATTCAATTATAAATGTCATAACAAATAAATAATTACTTTAGAATATAATAAAATTGTTTAACACCATTCGTGCTTACAAAATGTTTTTTGTCTATAATCAGACTTCAATATATCGTCATCATAAATGCTAAAGTATTACAGCATAATGAAAGTTTTTAAAATCAGAGTTGGTATAAAACCACGCTTTTCGATACAATGGAAAAACATTCGGAATAACAGCCTACATTTAACTAAATATCGCTCTTTTAGTTCAGATCATATATTTTAAACTAACTACTGCTTCTTTTTGTTCTATAAAGATCATTTTTTAACATAGTGATAGGTATGGGTTAAATCACTGTATTGATCACACACCTTTTTTAAAATCAGAGTTGGTATAAAACCACGCTTTTCGATACAATGGAAAAACATTCGGAATAACAGCCTACATTTAACTAAATATCGCTCTTTTAGTTCAGATCATATATTTTAAAAACTAACTACTGCTTCTTTTTGTTCTATAAAGATCATTTTTTAACATAGTGATAGGTATGGGTTAAATCACTGTATTGATCACACACCTTTTCACAGGTAATTGCAAAAACAATATTCACAAGAGTTTTACGTTTAAAAAGCTAATTTTCTGGCGGCATGGTACTTTGGTGCATCATTACGCGTTTTTCTACATGTACTTAACAGATAAGTTCGGGGGGGGGGGGGGGGGTTCAACTTCATTCACCACTGTCCGGTCACTTTAGGTCAATTATCCAACCCAGTGTATACCTAGATGTGACATTAATGTCGCTCTACACAATTGTGGTGGTGAGGTGTGTGTGTGTGGGGGGGGGGGGAGATAACCAACTCAGAGTGAACATAGCTTAAGTTTTTAGATGACTGCAAAAAAATACATATATATTACACAAATATATATTACAACAAATATATATTACAGAAATAGATTTAAATAAGTAGCAGTGGTATTATGACAATATTTTTACAGAGTCCATGGGGGAGGGGGGGGGGGGTTGTAACTGTTTCATATAATTTGTAATCGTAATCAATATCGCCCAACTGTAAGAATGCTAATACTTCACCGTGATGACGTTGTTGGCCTTGTCAAAATTTCCCCACCACTACTCAGTTTGCTCATAAGTAAATTTAAATAGAGGTGCCACATCAGTTGTATTTATTTCTATATTGTAATTTTTAAAAAATTAATCACACGATTCAAACTGTATATATAAAGTAATTATGTGTGAAGTTTCATGTATCTAGGGGACTGAGTGGTCTAGCGGTAGAGAGCTGGACTGCTAACCCGTAAGTTTCGAGTTCGAATCCGGGTTCAAGTCAGCAGACCGTCCCTGAGTCCACCCAACTGATGGGTACCTAACTCATGTTAGGAAAAGTAAAAGCGGCTGGGCATAGTGCTGACCACACTATCTCTTCATATGCCGAGGTCACAGAAACAAGTGAACCTCTACATCACTTGCCCCTTAGACCGTCAGGTTTGAAAGGGAAACTTTGATGTATAACATTTTCTAATTCAATTATTCGTAAGCAAATACATTATACAGTTGCCTTAAACTTTACACCCCTCTTGCCAGGTGGTACTACCCGTAGAGGTTTTTTAAACATTGCAATGCATCGTATTGGTTTTTTTTAGAATGGCAAACTGATGCAGCTGTTAATACGTGTTGTAAACATAGACACTACTAGACTAGTACAATAATGCTTAATTGCTGCATGAAAAGAAGTCTTGTGGTTTACATAGTTGTGCCGACCAAAAATATTTTTTTTTACAAATATTATTGTTTAAAACTTTGAGTTTAAAAAGTTTCCAAAAAGGCGCCACTTTGCTGAAAATGGCCAGAAGGGGAGCAGCCGCTCCCCCTGCTCCCCCCCCCCCCCTGCGTACGCTACTGAATACAAGAGACGTAACAATCACTAACAAGACATAAAGTAACAATTTTACCTGGAAAACCGTGCTCCACTTTTTAACGCGCATGGAGAAAGTCAAATTCCGGATCCTCAGTAGGTCATCCTGGAGCTTCTTTTGATCAACGGTTTTCTGACCAATCAAATGCGCGAACACACCCAGCTCATAGGCCATGTGGACACAACGACCGTGCGGATTGGTCATGTTGAAGGCCATGGCAAAGTACTGAGAATAGTAGAACATATGGAGTGAAGTTTAAAAAGAAACTATTAAGGTAAATGGGTTTGGGTCTGAAGGACGTCGCTGAGTCCGATCAGCTCTAATGGGTACCTAAGGGAAACTAAGGCGGCATAGTGCATTATATAGTGACTATCCCCACTGTATGCTGAGGTCATTGAACCAGAGTTTCAAGGCACCCCCCCCCAAGCATGTCTACCTCCCCCCTCCCGAACTAAATATAATTTATATATAAAATATATATTTTAAGAGCCCCCCTCCCCCCCCGAAAGTTTCAAGCGTCGCTCCCCTCCCCTCCCAAAAAAAATGTCTGAAAGAAACGCTGATTAAAACAGATGAATTCTACTTTATCTGTAAAAGTGCTGACCACACCATCCCTTCATATACCTACGCCGAGAAACATAAACTCTACTTCAATTGCCCTTCGGATAAAGGGAACTTTAATACTTGAATGGTGTTGGCTTTATTTTTTTAATTGTGAGAAAGAGGGTGGAGGGGTATACCTAAAATATAATATAAAATAAATAAGAATTATGTAGCGTAGGGTGTGAAAAATGTTTTATTTGTAAATGTATGAAGCTAACAATAATAGACGATAGAAAAGCGGAAGTTGGTGAACTTAAACAAAATAAACTTAATTAAAGGGAGATAAACACAGGCAATAAACACTAAACACTAAGCAATAATAGACGGTAAAAAAAAAACATTACAGAACGCCTCAACACATAATAAAATAGATACAATAAGATTGCAAGACGATACAGCAGACTAATAATGGGCAATAAGGAAGATAGTAAAGGGCGATAATTGCGAAATTCAAGGGTGATAATTACGACATTCAAGGGCGATAATTACGATATTAAAAGCCCGTAAACAGCGTACCTGGAATTTAAAACTGCCCTGGAGTAGACTTTCCCGTAAGTAAACCTCCATCTCAGCAGGTAGGTTGTGCTTGAGGTCATTTTCACCTGCGGATCAAGAGGAACAAAGGTCAGTGATAGGTCATGGACATGAGTAGCTAAGGACGGCAGCAAGGGCGGGGCCCCCGGCTGAAAGTTTTTAGGGGCTCCTATATATATATATATATATATATATATAATA